AAAGCTCAACATTGTAAATGATCGGTACTCCTTGTTGTAAGTTACCATTATAGTAAAATTGGTCTTGCTCGTGACGGAGAGCTTGGTAACGGGGGACGTAGATCATTGCATTGGATCGAACCTCCATAACATATCGTTTGCACTTTCTATTCCTTTTACTTATCGCTTTTATATTTGTGCTTATTATTTGAATTAATCTATTTAGTCTTTACTTGGTTGAATTTAGATTAATTCTTCGAAAAAGTTTCAAAAACCAATTCACCCCCCTCTTGGTTAGTTATTCTTGGGCTAACATCTTGCCCATATACACCCGCTCAGAATGGCCGCGCTGAACGAAAACACCGACATGTGACTAAGACGGGACTGGCACTCCTTTTCCATTCCCATATTTCTCCCCGTTTCTGGGTTGACGCCTTCAGCACAGAAGCTTACATCATCAACTGCTTGCCCATACCGCTTCTTGGAGGTATATCTCATTTTCAACTTCTCTATGGTTCATCACCAAATTATTAGAATTGTCATCCTTTTGGTTGTCGTGTTATCCTTGCTTGCATGATTATATGCCTCACAAATTTTCTCCTCGAAGTTTCTCTTGCATTTTTTAAGATACAGTCCTTCTCATAAAGGATTTCGCTGTCTTGATCCCACTACCTCCTGGCTTTATATCACCCGACATGCCCAATTCGATGAAGACCACTTTCCCTCTAGAGGTAACTTTCAGGCTCAACCCTTTTCCTCTCTCCACTTTTCAAATTTTCTTGAACCAAGCCTGCCCCATCTCGACCCTACTTCACTATCCCCTCTACAACATTCTCCGCATATTACTCCATCCGAATCTAAGCCGTGTGTTATTTGTACTAACCCAATGGACGAGTCTTTGCAAGTTACTGATTCTCTTACAGGTCCTTCTTCATCGTCTCAGGAGTCTCAACCACTTCCTGTTGACTCTGATGTTGCTCTACCTCTCACTGCTCCGACTCTTGCTCCAGCTCCTCAACGGGTTCTCATCCCATGCTCACACGAGCCAAAGCTGGCATTTTCAAGACTCGCCATCCAGTGAATCTCAGTCTTTTGGGATCCTCTGGACTGCTTCCTGCTCTTCTTGCCTCCACTGAGCCTAAAGGATTCAAGTCTACTGCCAAGGGCCCTGCATGGCTTGCTGCTATGGATGAAGAAGTTCAAGCTCTGCAACATAACCGCACCTGGGTTTTGATCCCTAGACCTGCTAACACCAACATTGTCGGTTCTAAATGGGTATTTCGGACCAAGTATTTGCCTGATGGATCTATTCAGTGTCTCAAGGCTCGACTTGTAGCCAAAGGCTATACTCAGATACCTGGTCTTGACTACACTGACACTTTCAGTCCTGTTGTCAAAGCTACTATTTTTCGCATTGTGCTCTCTCTTGTTGTTACAAATAGATGGCCTCTCCGCCAACTTGATGTGAAGAATGCATTTCTCAATGGCACTCTCACTGAAAATGTCTATATGGAACAACCTCCTGGGTACATTAATCCTCGATACCCGAATCATGTCTGCAAATTAAAAAAAGCTCTCTATGGTCTCAAACAAGCTCCTCGTGCCTAGTTTCAGCGCTTCAGTTCCTTTCTTCACAGACTTGGGTTTTCTTACAGCCGTGCAGACACCTCTCTCTTTATTTATCATAAGTAGTCTAACACTATTTATCCGCTTTTGTATGTTGATGATATTATCATTATCGACAACAACTCTTCTCTTCTTGACCGCTTCGCTCGCACGCTCAATTCTGAGTTTGCCACCAAAGATTTGGGCTCCCTCAGCTACTTTCTTGGTCTGGAAGCTACTTACACTATTGATGGTCTCTTTATCAGTCAGTTGAAATATGCCCGAGATATTCTGACTCGAGCATAGTTACTTGACAGCAAGCCAATTCACACTCATATGGTCGTCTCTCAGCATTTGACTAGTGATGGACATGCTTTCTCGGACCCCACCCTCTACAGGTCTCTAGTTGGTGTCCTTCAATACTTAACCATTACTCGTCCCGACATCACTCATGCTGTTAACTCTGTCAGTCAATTCCTGCATGCCCCTACTTCAGATCATTTTCTTACTGTCAAGCGTATTTTACGCAATGTCAAGGGCACACTTCACTTTGGTCTTTCGTTTCGCCCTTCAGCTGTTCCTGGTGCCCTAGTTGCTTACTCCAACGCTGATTGGGCTATTTGTCCCGATACTCGCCGCTCCACCTCTGGCTACTCTATTTATCTTGGCGATAATCTCGTTTCTTGGAGTGCTAAGAAACAACCCACTATTTCCCTTTCTAGCTATGAGTCTGGGTATCGCGCCCTTGCCACTACTGCAGCTGAACTCCTTTGGCTCACTCATCTACTTCATGATCTCAAGGTTTTCATTTCACAAAAGCATATTCTCTTATGTGACAACAAAAGTGCGATCTTCTTAAGCTCCAATCCCGTTTCCCACAAACGGGCAAAACATGTTGAATTAGATTACCATTTTCTTCGGGAACTTGTTGTTGCTGGCAAACTTCGCACTNTCTTTATTGTAATTAGCATTTATTTGTAATTATTCTAATTGACTATATATAGAAGAAATACTCACCACATGGTGTGGTGGATTTTACTCAATCCTTACAATTTTCCTACAATTTGAACCGAATGAATGGACATATCTTTCGATCGTTAATGGATATGTGAATGTAGTGAAGTACTTCAACGTGTTGATGCTGTGGAATGAGGTGAAGATGAAGGTATCAGTTGAAGGAGTGAAGAGATTCAAATTGGATACTAACTTGGTTGATGCTTTTCTCTGTGCTTTGATGAAGGGTAAATTCTTTAATGCTGTGATGCAAGTTGTCGAGAAATCTCAAGAGATGAAAATATTTGTTGATAAAGGGAAGGTGCAAGCAAGCATTCATGGAGACGCATAAGAAGCTAAAAGTATCAAAGTTGAGGAAGATAAACTTTAGGAAAATGGAAGCATTGATTGCCTTCAAAAACTAGGCTGGTTTTACTGTTTGATGACTAATTATATCTATATCTGCCTCTTATTATTCTCAGTTAAGTTTCTGTATGCTTACATACTTGCTTGACAACAACATTCTGCAATTTAAGTTTGCTAATAACCATCAAAACAACATGTCTGGCTATTGCCTTTCAAAACTTGCACCACGAAATTTCAAGTTTACAATTCCCTGAGGACGCACCTACATAAAGCTGCACAGCTCCTCGGAAGCATTCAAGTTGGAGTTGAAACTCGATCTTACTTTCTGGTTTCAGAGCAGTTGTGGGTTTTGATGCGTGACCTGTGGAAGCAATCTGTTTCTAATCTTTTTCTATTGGACTCCATTGTTTAGCAAACGGGTTGTCCGAGTGCGCTCATGGAAATGGGACGAGTCATTGATTGGTGAATTTGGAATAATGCAACATGAATTTAATGATAGGTTCATTGCTATTTGTTTATTACACATATTATTGCTTTCTGTTATCGAACTTTTGCTGAGCCATCAATAAATTATCGGGATAAAAAGTGGGGAAAGACATTAGCGTATCCTAGTGGATAGAAATTTTCCACTTCAATTATGATGCAGCAGTGATGGTGCTTGCCTTTCATGTGAAGTCTTAGTGAGTACCGAAGTTCGGATTTCTCCTTGTCAGAATTGATGAAGTCGAGGTTCTCACACAACTTTAACTTGTAGATTACAATTTTAGCATCACATAATGTCATTATGAAGTGGCCAGTTCATTATGACGCGTTTATGTCAATTTAACAAGAAAGGTCCTCGGAATAGGTGAGACTGCAGAAACCAAAGCCATCTAAATTGGTGTTATGTAGAGAATATTTTTTCATTGTACTTGCAATGCACATACAGTCGGATCACTAACAAGAAAATTTACATTTTGAACTCATTGAGCATTTTTTGCCTCTTGTACTATGGATCACCAGGAAACTTGGAGTCGTTGGACTAGAATGTCAATTAACTATTAGTTGCACCGTTTCGAATCTGTCATGGCAATTTTAACGTGTTATTCAGTAAACAACAAGTATACTTCCAATGAAGATTAATTGATTGGTGAATGTATCAAGACGTTCCAGTGATTACATTGTAAGAGAGACGATATAGAGTTGTTTCCTTGAAAATTGAAACAACTAAGTGACTCCTTAGGCCACCCACAGTCACAATATGAGCCGTGTCTATCTTATTTTCAGTTTTCTTTTCCCATGAGTACATGAAAAATAATCACTTTCACCATTAACTTTTTTTAATATAGATATTATCAAGTCTAATGCTCTTGTACCTCGTATTTCCCTTTGGCATGGGGCATCTTTATGAAATAACATATAAGTCGCACTTTCTCTTTGCCCAGTAATAAGAGTGTATGTTGAACTAGTTTCAGTATAGAAAATGTTCATTTTTGTAGGAGCTTTCGAATCAAAATCTCAAAAAACGAAAAAATCTGTGTAGTAGAAGAATTGTTATTCAGTGAATCAGTAATGTCACTTCCAACTGTTTGAGGCTATGACACATTTTCTTTGACGATCTATATCACAAAGTGCTCTCTTAGGCATACATGTCCTACATTTTCCATTATCTTTTTGGTGTTTCCACTTTTCAGGGTTTTTACTCTCATGGATGGTGTTTTTCCTTCAAAGACAAGCATGTATGCTAGTTTGATTTTCCACCTCTGAATTGAAGAGGTCTCATTTACAAGCAGTTACATTTCGCTTCTACAAAGAATTCTATGCATGGAAATTTTAATGTGTTACTTTAAAGAGCAATTACACTTTTAGTGACGATTAATCAACTGATAGATGTCTCAATATCTTCTACTGACTATATTGAAAGAGAGACAATAATTGGTGTTTGAGTAGAGTTCTTTTCTTGAAAATTAAACAACTTAGTGATTAATTAGGCCACTCAGTGACTATCAACCCTATCTATCTTATTTTTCATTTTCTTTGTTAATGAGTATGGTTTTCCTCATTTCTAATTTGTTTAGGTAGTTTTCTTCAGTAATAAAATTTTTTGCTCTTTTGGTTGGATCAGATGATATATTCAGGCACTTTTTTGTAAGTGCAAGGAAAATAATCACTTGTAGCATTGTCTTTTTTCATTACACACACAATCAAGTATAATGTATGTAAGGCCAGGAACACATGATATTAAGTTGAGAAACAGAGATAAAATGATCTTCTCAGAAAATAATGTGCAGAAAATTAAAGAAAACACAAGCGATTTCTTTCGGCTTAAACCTCGGAGGGTCAACGACTGCATTTAACACTACATCTCCTATTGAGCATCCAGTATGTTGGATTTGTGCTCGGTTCCACTGTATAGCCCAAAATGGCAACAAATATTACAAAATGTTCAGCCAAATCACCGAGTACAGGACAAAACACTTATCTATCTCAATACAACAATCGATCCACAAGATTTACAAAGAATCTCTTCAAAACCTTCGAAATAGCAACTTAAAAGAACACGAACTTTCTTACAAATATTCACTCAGAATATCACTAAACAATGGCTAAATATTACAGATTAACTATCTCAAATCAGAAATTTGAGAAGAAATAGAAAAGAGAACCAAAACTAGAGAACTCCTTCAAAACGACGTAAAACAGAGAGAAAGAATGAAACCCTGAAAATTGAATGCAACATGAAAAAGGCATAAAGTAATAGAAGTCTCCATAACAGATCGAACGGCTCAGATTTAAACAAGTGTCGCAATCTAGTTAAATGTGCATTTTTAATAAAGTTGTAATACCTAAAACACGACTTCAATACAAATTATGGGAGCACCATTCGGACCAGGTTCGAATCCCGCAATGTACTTGTACCTTGTCTATTCAGAATTATTGTTACTCTATGGCCAATGTCGATTATCCATTCTCTCTTTGTTATTTATATAGGATGCCGTTTCTTAGTATCATTCCTATCGATGATTCTTGTCATAATATGTGGGGCATTCTCCTTGTGAAGTTTCCCTTTGGCATTGGGCATCCTGATGTAATACGGTATAGGTTTGTACTTTCTTTTTGTCCAGTAATAGGAGCTTATGTTGAACCAGTTTCAGTATATAAAATGTTCATTTCCTTAGAACTACTGAATTAAAATCTCAGGAAAAAAAACCCGAAAATTCTTAGTAACATAACTACTCTTCAGCATCCAACTGTTAGAGGCTACATCATATTTACTTTGGTGACCAATATCACAAAGTGCTCTCTTAGGCTTTCACGTCCTACATTTTCTGTTTTACATTTCAGAGTTCTTGCTATCATCTTATGGATGATGTTTTTCTTCGAGACAATAGGTATGATGGTTCCATTTCCCATCTCTGAATTGAAGATGTCTTATTTACAAGCAATGATATTTCACTTCTACAAAGAATTTACATGCACACTAAACTTCCCCAAGTTCTTGGTTTGAAAATAGTATTGTAATTACATAGAAAAATTAGATGATTGCAGCAGCCATAATTACTGGGGAATAAACTCCAACCAAATACATTTTGGTCATGGAGTACTATCTTCCTCCCAACCAATAGTAAATTGGAGATCTGTATGGTTTAAGTTTCTTTATTGATAATATTCCTAAAAATATTCATATGACTTGCATGAGATTAGAGGTGTCAATCCGGGTGGTCCTGGTCCGGGTCGGGTCGGGTCGGGTTGGCCCGTCAACATATGAGCCCGGTAACGGTTTGCGTGAAAAAAAGTCCGTCCATTACGGGTTCCGGGTAGGTCCACAAATTTTGGACTACAACCCGGTCCGCCCGCTGACCCATCCGGGTCGAGCCCATGAGGGTCACGAGTCGCGGTTTGTTCCGATTTGGCCCGTATTATTGTATAAATAAAATTATAAAAATATAGAATTTTTCATATTTATAGCAAAAAATATTTTTTTTGTTAAATGTAAACTAAGAATTGAACAAAATGATAAATTCATATTTATACCAAAAAATGTTTACATAGAATTCAAATTTAATGTTACATGAATTATTTATAACTTTGCAAACTTAGATTTAACTTAAACAAATAACAATTATATCAAAATGCATGTCTAATTATTATTATCAAATATTTATANTACATCCCAACTAGATTGGTACCTACTTAAGTTTTAACTATAATTTAGTTGTTCAAAAATTATATATTTTAATATTTGTTTTCCAATCAATTTTCAGGAATTGCAAGATTTTTGAAGTTTTCAGCAACATCATCAATAATTTTATCTTGCATCCTTCGATCCGCGAATATCCAATCTTTCACGCATATGAGAGCTTCCAAAATATCTTCTTTAAATTTAGATCTTCTTTCCTCCAATACCATGTTACCTGCACTAAAAGCAGACTCGGATGCCACTGTTGAGACTGGAACTGTTAGTATATCTCGTGCCATTTTAGATAATACAGGGTATGTTCGCTCATTTAATTTCCCCCATCATAAAATATCTAAATTATCCACTTCATCTTCAGGTATTAAACTATAATGATCACATTTATAGTATATTTCTAATTCAGCAGGTGTGGTATTTGAATTTGCAGTTGAAATTGTAGATGAAGAACCAATAACATAGTTGTTATACATTTCATTAATAAAAATATCCAATTGGAGAATTAAAGGTTCACTTCCCCTACATGGAGCTGAGCAATTCGACGTTTCTTAGCTATTATAGAGAAAAAAAAAGATTTGCCTTTAGAAGTTTTACTGGAGTTTGTAGAAGAAGAAATATTTTCATTGTTACCATATTTAATAAAATAGTTGTTATACGTTTCATTAATAAAAATATCCAATTGTCGATTTGTAATATTTGTGTTAAAAGTTAATGTTTCGGAAAGTGATTTTAAAGTACAATGAATTCCAAACAACGTAATGTGAGGATCCATACAGTCGCCACTGAAAAAATTAGTGGTATGTTTTCATAAT